TTCTTCTTCTTCTTCTTCTTTTCTTTTTTCTATCTTTGTTTTTTTTCCATACAATCTTTGACTCAGCAAATTGACATTTTTTTCAATTTTGTTCACAGTTAAGCTTTTTTTCAGTGATCTTAAACATTAATTTTTTGGCTTGGTGATAAGTTATATGCAAATTTGGTATACTATCACTGCTTTAAGTTAGTTATCTGCAAATGTTGTCGCGACCATACGCGAAACGGCACTTAATTACAATAAGTGACCAACGAAATTATGTTCCCTGAGGGGACGCTCTTGGAGGAGCATACTACCCAGGTCACGCCACCGGTGAGATAGGTATATATAGGGAGTGACAGTCAGCTAACTTTAGTGTTTTTCATTACAATCAAATCGAGTTGGTTGTCGGCGGTTTTCTATAAAGCTTTCTTTTGTTACGTGCCCATAGGCAATTATTCGTGTCTTTGTTACCTTTTCTTTATAAATGATTCTTGCTTATTATATTACGTTATTGTGTATAATAGAATTTGAATCGCTTCAAGTAGTATCTCTTATCTGTTGTATAATTTAGTTTGCGAGTAATAAACTAGTTAGTAGAGAGGGTGGTGTCGGGCGCGTAGTAATTAAACACTTCTTTTCGTTTGCAGGTTTAGGTAGGTGTGCTGCAATTAAGTAGCAATCTTCCTGAACACGAGAGTTGGCATCTGTCTAAGGCGAGTCGGTTCATAGAAGGCTTAGAACTGGAAGGAGTCTTAAGCAAGAAGTAAGGAATCAAGGTAGCTGTAGGTTGGCGCTGTAGGTTCAAGGACTGGTTGAGTTTACAGTAAAGAGAGTAGTAGGAAGGTTCCATAGGACACTGTAGGAGAGAAGCTGACAAGGGCGACTCTTCAAATTTTTGAATTTTGTCTGCAGTCACGACAAATGTTGAAAAAGATAAATGAAAATTTTTTTTTTTTATCTTCTGAGTGTCTGCTAAAATTGAAAACCGGTGAAACAGTAACGAAGAAGAAAATCGAAAACAAAAAAGACTCAGAACTTAGTTAGTAGAAGAATATCAATTTTCCGATTGAACAAAAGCAGAACAAAAAACGAGGTTTTCATTCACTCAGAACTTAGTTAGTAGAAGAATATCAATTTTCCGATTGAACAAAAGCAGAACAAAAAACGAGGTTTTCATTCATTTTTTTTTTTTTTTTTGATTGCTAACCTTAAATTCTGATGACGAAGTGTTGCGTTAAATGCAACGTTTGTCAAGTTTTTTTCAGATTCACAAATGGTAATACAACATTTCAAATATACATTTTTTTTACACATGATTTTATTGCAATTATCTTACGGTGATAACTCAGGTTAGCTCTTTCATTAAATCTATTAATCTGTTCTACAATATTGAGGTAATTATAGGAATAAAGATTGAAAACCACTTTTTTTATTCATTTAATTTATTATTATCTGTCTTCTTAAAACCATCATTCAAACTCATTGTAATATTTAGCTTTGTCTTTTTTTTTTTCTTTTTTGTTTGCATAACTTTTTCTTATAGACTGGTCTTGCGATCATGATTTTACACAGATTGGTAGTTGGTGCTATAAATTGGTCGATACGTCAGCGACTTTTGACACTGCAGTTAACCTCTGTAAAACGCAATATGGCGCAAATTTAGCATCAATTCACGACGATAAAGTAAAAAATTTATGAGATTTATAATTTATTAACTTCTGCGGCTTTATCTTTTCTTTTCTTATTTTTAACTACTAATCAGGCTAAAGTATCTCCTGTTATTAATAATAAAGTTTACTTTTTTGAACTGTTGAAATGTACAAATTTTTTTAACAGTTTTTACTTTTTTCTACTTTTCTCATCTTAGTTACCATTTTTGTTTTGGTATGCTTTTTTTTTACAAGAAAAAAAAGATAAAATTTTTCAAAGAGAAAAACTTCAACTGCCTATTTTTTTTTTTTTTTTTTTTTTGGATAAACAACTGCGAAATCAGATGTTTCCGGGTTACTTACGAAAAATACTGTTAATTGCGTCATTAAAAACCTGAAAAATTTTCAATTTCTATTTTCTCAAGAGAAAATTGAGCAAATGATCAGAAAAAAAACAGTGTTCTTCGGCATTGCACTTGTAAAATGATTGATAACTTAAGCAATATTTCCAGGCACTAAATAAAAATTTAAAAATTTAATTGTTTTCTTGAACACCAGTAATTGTCCAGCGGTTTTTTATAGTTCAATAATTAAAAAAAGTGTTTTTTTTTAAGGTTGCCTAAATGATTTGTAATATTTATACCATTGATAATATTGGTTTTACATAAAACAACTTATTGTCAGGAAAACGTTGGTCTTCGGCATTTGGGAGATTCATTTCTGATTGGTTTGCGCTACTATGAAGTTGCAAGTGATCTTAAATGGGCTGATGAGTCGGAAGTAAATTATACTCACTATAACGGTGACTTTTAGACATCTCATCATCGGCCACCAACAGCAGACAATATTAATTAAATAAAACCTCTTGTAACTTGACCAATAGTATAATTGTAAAAGTAGCTGAATTACCAAGTAAATTTAGACCCACAAAAAACAAAAATTTATTTAAGCAAGAATTTCTTCAATGAAAATTAAAATGTTAAATTTAATTTATTTTAAATTAATTTATTTTCGAGAGTTTTATTTACAGAATCAGATCTGAAACAGTGGAGCGTAAATAATAATGACTGCGTAATTTGGGAGAATATGACGTGGAGAATGTGGAACTGCAAGAAAGAAATACCAAAATTTGTTTGCAAAAAATCGTTGTCAAGTAATTTATGATAATTTATGTGAATAATACTAACAGTTGACTTTTTCTGTAGTTATCTAATTTTGGTTTATAAATATCAAAAAATAATCATACTGTTGAGCAATATGCAGTTTTTTTAGCAAACCCAGACAATTACTGCCCAACAAAGCAACACATCTACAAAGATGGTGGAATAGTTAAGTTTCTCTGTTGAATACAAATGCTATTCGCAATAAGCTTGCTAAAAGATAGCTTCAAATGACAGTACAGATGAACCAATTTTATCAGCTGTAAATTCATCTGTTTAAGCTATAAAAAAGACTATAAAGTAATGAAACATACTTGAGAATGATGATACAGACATAGTCAAAACCGACCGACTACTGTACAGTTCATCTTAATTATCACCACTATTACTATCATTAAGCTCGTCAATACTCGTAAAATTTTTATTTTCTTTATTAACTCTAGATTTATTCACCGGGATGGCCCAGAGAATATCATCTTTCAAATAAAACGTGTAAGTATAATCTTGCTGCTAAACCAAACAGCACGATTGACGCTACGATTCAGCTGTTTTCATTTGGTACCACCGACGAATGCAGAGACACGTTACAAGTGTATGAAGGATGGAATTTAATCTCGATACCTGATGCTCAGTTAGTCTATCTGACTTTACTCTTCAACTTCAAGTTATAGTAGCTGTTTACGATTGCCAATTTTGTTACTGAAACTTTTGTTCAAAAGCTACAAATCACTCTTAATAATGTTTTTTTAAAAAGATTTTACTCAGAAGATAAATACGATTTAGAGAACAGAATGAAAGAATAATAAGACTAAATAATCAAAAAAATCAGTCTTTTTTTAATTTTAACAATTTTTTATACGCTTTTGTAAGCCAGTAAGAGTTTTTTCACAGTAATGAAGTTGTCAGTTAGATAAGCGTGTTGCTCACTGTCTATAAGATATTCAAAAATTACTGAAAAATACAAAAATTTTTAGAATTTCCGGTACCAAAGATGTAAAACAAGAAGAAATTCGTATCCAGTCCAACAAGAATTTTTTACAATTCGCTTTTACCTATTGTCCAAACAAAGATAAAGAGAAACGTTTTTTTGGAAAATGGAGACTTCAGTGGTCATCTACAGGCAATTACAATTTTTTTCTTGGTATTGGAACAGATGAACATTTCATTAAAAAAATGAACAAAAATGTTATTAAATACGTTCACTCGCACTTCTAAACAATGTTATTTTGAATAAATGCATAATTTTTTTTAACATTTTTTTTGAACATTATTTAAAAACGTGTACTAAACCTTTTGCACAAAAAATGTTTAGCATCACAACCGGTAATGTTAAAAAATTAATTTTTACTTATTGAATAAAACCTTTAATTAACTCATAAATAAACTTTAAAATAACAGTTGAATAAACATAATTAACTCATTAAATAACAAAAGAATTTAAAACTTTTGGTTATAGTATGGTTTTAGAGTCAGTAAATTGTTAGACAGTTTTTCTAGCTTGACTAGGTCTTAAAACTAACATCATAAAGCAGACAGTCTGTACCCAATAAAGCATTAACATACTCCATCATTTAAACTTGTTCATATCTTTTTATCTTTTTGTATTACCTAAATTAAAAAATAAAGTTTTTATTTTGCAGATGCAAATCAACAGCTTGAATCACGGTCCAAAAGTCATACGATAAATCAATTGCAATTCAACCATGAAACAGCACCAAAAACTTCATTAACACCAAAATCCCGTATATATGTCGTTCATAAAAAACCAGCCAAACCTTATTCTGTAACATCAATTGCATCGCATTCTTACAACGGACTATGTTATGAACAAAATGCTGCAGTAAAATGTGGTTTTTGGTGTAATCAACAGGTAATTAGTCACCTATAACAGCCCAAATAAATTAATTCTTAACATTGCAAAAACCATTAAAATTTAAAGCAAGTGAGAAAGAAAGCCCAATACTTTTTCAAATATTTTTTATTAATTTGTTTCCACCATTTTCAAGCCACTGTTATTCTAGAAGAAAGAATTTGGTAGCTGTATCAAAACTGAAAACGTCTATAGATGCTGGTGTTTCGATCAAACTGCAACGTCGGCATTAAGTGTATCCGTTGTTGAAACGCTGTGGTGGGAAACCACTCAACAGTACTATTGGTATCTAATGAACAGTAACAAGCATAATGCATACGGTATACAAAATCACGCTTACAATTTTTGGAACTATCTTAGTAGTTAAAACTTCAGATTAGGGCTTCTGTTATCGTTCTCCTCTAACAAGCACTTTGTCGTCATCTTCTTCGTCTCCATCTTAAAATTCTCGCGTTTGCAGTACCTATTATCTTATATTTAAATTACGTTCGATTAAAGAATTTCTACTGCTGTTGCCGCTCCAAACCATTCTTCTTTTCGTTCCCTCTGTATTACACATTAATCTGACTCCGCTATTCGTCGTCTTCTGCACTGTTTCCAAATTTACCGTTTTTTACTACATCTCGACTTTTAGCCTTTTACCGAGTTGAAGAAAGCAAAATTATTAGAGGCAAAAAAAAACTTCCCAACCAGATGTGTTATGTTTGTGAAATGTAGCTTAAACATCAATAAAATCTCAAATGTTTAACATTTTTTTATTTTTTTCATTGTATAACAGCACAAATGTAAAATTGCTTAATTCCTCAGATTAATAAGACTGTCGACCGTGATAACAAACTGTTTTTATTCGGTCAACGTTCTAAGCTACGGCAGTGCGTACGTAGCTGCAACGCCGTTTTCTGGTCGTATTACTTAATTGCCAAAGAGGCTGTGCCGTAAACCAATACAATATGTGTCATCGTAATGTTAATCGCAAAACCGGTTAAGAGGTGAAGAAAAAAAGAGTAAGATAACCTTCTCTTTTTTAGGAAGGGGAGGGGGGGGGGGGGCAGGACGAGCATTGAAGGAAAGTCATTGTTGCAAAAAGAAGAACTGTCAACCACTCCGTAAGGGCAATCCAATTTGATAAAGTTTCTCCGGTTTATCGAAAATTATTCTATCAACAATTTCTTTGCCTTGAATGAAACAGTGGTCCTGGTTAGAACATTCGTACTTCCATCCCCCGAAACGTCCACGTGAAAAGATGTTGTGTCTTTCCAGCACCAAATGCGCTCTGTACAGTTCATTGTCTCGCTGTAACATATTGCAATTATTGGCAAACGGGATAGAAAACTCCCAATACTTTAGACCACCAACACGATTTCCGTTTCAAACAATGCAAAGCTTCGTTCAGCATTGTGTAAAACTGTATAATGGCGAAAAGAAAAAGGCAATTAAAAAAAATTTTTTTTGTTGACTTTAAAACACTTATAATTTTTTTAAAAAAATATTAAAAAATAATGGTAAAATGTGTAAACGGTACCTCTACACTTGGAATTGGATAACCGTAAGGAAGAAGAGTGGAATAGACACTGACAATTTGTTCCCTGTTAATAATTGACTTGGTAACCAGACCATTAATTGTCTGTTCCCGTATTTCTTCTTCAGTTATCTGAAGAAAACTATCATAAAATAACTTTTTTAAATAAATATTTAAACCTGGAAGAAAAAGAAGTGGCATAAAAAGTAGTAATTTTTTTTCCAAAATGAAGAAATACCTACTGGATCTTCAATTTTTTTGGCACATTCACATAAAAGAGACCAATACTTTGTATTGTCTGGAGTCACTTCACCGTACCGAGACAAAAACGATACTCGATAAAAGGGCACATTCGGATCCGGAAAATAGAGCCATGTAAAAGGCTCCACAAATTTCGGTTTTGGAAGTGTCATCCCGACGCCGACTATGAAAACCTTTAATCTTCAGCTGAGTTACTTTACAGCATTTATTCATCTTCTCCAATAAACTACTGCCTGCTTAAATCCGCAAAGTATAATGGAAATAACTTTTCAGTGCTCAAGATACTGTAGGCGACAAAGATTACCTTATTACGCAATAGTTTAGGTTCTGGGCACAATCTGGTAAACCGGACCAGTTGCTCGATTGGTGCCGAACTTATCAGTACATCATAGTCAATCTTTTTGACCGACAAACACGTGCCATCTGTTTGTTTATAAACCAACTGTTTTTTGACGGCATCGACACCAGTAACCTCAAGAAAATGCACGAACATATTAGTGTTGCCGATCATGGTAACCACAGTGCAGAACTCATTTAAGATATAAATTTTTCAGTGAGATTAAGATTAAACGCAGATTACACACATTACAATGTAAGAAACGCCTAAAGTAACGCCTAAAACGCCTAAAGCTTAAGACGCCTAAAACGCCTAAAGCTTAAGCATAGCTGTAATGCATACAGTTTGCTCAGAAATTTCAATCGGAATAATAATCATTAAATAAACTTTTACTTCGGCATTATAGTGAAACCAGCTTTGCGGTAAAGTGTCGGTTACACTCTTCCAAACAGCTCCAGTACCTCCATATTTAGGATAAGTAAATTCCTTATTAGGTCCCCATCCAAAATCTGCACCCTATAACAGTCGTTTTTTTAAAAGAGTACAGAATTTATAAGGGTCTAAAAGTGCCGTTTTAGATTTCAATGAGCAGCCCAATTCAGTTGCGAAATTTAAGCAACAGTTATGTGAACGCTTTAAACTAAATGATTTTACTGGTAGGATAAACTTTGATTGGCTAAACAAAATACGACTGAAAAAAAGATTTATTTATTTACAGTTAATTCCTCCGGTCCCATACTGCAGAGTTCTTCAAATTTTTCTCGCGGAAGCATTGCTACTCGAGTCCCAACCCAATCTGGATTCATTTTTTCCAACTCTACGGTCCATACCTATATAGACGGCAAATATGGATGTCGCTTTTCTGCTATATTCTTATAAAAAAACGAATCTTTTCCAACTACAGTGTAATGTTGAATAAAATAACCTTTCTAGAATAAGGCTTGAAAAATACGTCTCGAATTGTCGGCCCGAGATGTTTGTAAACCCACTGTTCAAAATCTTCCGGTATGATATCATTTTTCTGTAATTCATTATACATCTGTTGAATCTGCAAAAATGTGTTTAATGAATGAAATCTTCACAAGTAGTTGTTGGTAACTGACAACGTCGTATCGTTGCCGGAGATCTTTCGTACATGCTTCTTTGATCTGTTTGGGAAAAAATGGGATTGCAAACTGAGCCGGGTATGGAACAAGCCGAATTCCTTCTTCTTCGTACATATAGCTTATATCTACCTTAAAAAATGGCTTCTAGAGTACCGGTTTGTCCAACATGTGGTTTATAACAAGTCTAAGTAATAATAAGATTACAACGTT